TTGCCTCTATGTTTTCATACTAATCTATCTTGGATACTAAAAGGTATTTAATACTTGAGTAGTGCCTTATTTTACAACATATACTTGGGATAGGAAAAAAAATCATTAAGATCTTAAAGAGGGAATTAATGGCAGGCAGACCAAGTTCCTTAGGGCTGTACCTCCAAGAACCTTACTATTAAGGGTAGTATTGAAGGAGGTGTTACTGTACAACTACCAGGGCAGGTTTGCAGAGGAAACGTAAGAACCAAAAGAACTGTCCAGGTGTGTTGTCCCACACCTTTAATCCCAGCACTTGGGAAGCAGAGGCAGGAACTCCATGAGTTCAAGGTCAGCCTAGTCTACATAGTAAGTTCCAGACCAACCAGGGCAACATAGTGATAATAGTGAGACATTTTCTCAGAAAGAATAAAAAGAACTCGTGTTTAAAGTAGAGCAAAGAACCAACCTTCCCTGTTTCTAGTGTACTAAAACTTTTGTTTGTTTGTTTCCCACTATCTTCTCTCTCTTTAAAAACACCTCCTGACACTACAGTCCTAACTTTTTCCTTATGAATAATCATGTCAGTTGTCACTCAATTACTACTTTCAACATTTAATCTAAGTTATGTTCAGCATCTTGATAGTTTTTCTCTTTCTTTTTCTTTCTTTCCTTGAAGTTCTTAGTTGAATTTAAAAGTCAAATTTTTTCAAGAAGAGTTAAGTTGATGGAAGATGGAGGCAGAGATTAAACCAGAGGGAATCACTTATCAAGGATGTTTGGAATTCTTATGAATACAAATAGCCCATCAAGGTTAATGAGGTTCAACTTGAGTTTAGAAGGAGAAAATGCTTCGTATTTTCTATGCATTTACCATTATAAAATCCTACATTTTGAAACATAAATTATGCAAACCCAAATGTAGTTTCCTTTCATTTGAGTTTTCTAAGAACTACTTTCACTGTTTTGAACCAGCAGAAAGGACTACTGCTTACAATATAAATTCTGGATCAACAAAATCTAATCCAATTAGTGAGACCAAACAAACATCCCCCTAAAGATTGACAGCTTTTCCAAAAACCAGAGTGCTTTTAAAAATGACTGAAGAAGTGGGTAAGAGCACCTGGTATATAACTACAAGGACCTGGGTTCAGATTCCCAGCACCCATGTAAACGCCAGAAACAAGAGAATCACTGGGGCTTTCAATGGAGTTCCAGGTTCAGAGAGAAGACCTTGTCTCAAGGAATAAGGTAGAGAGGTATAGAGTAGGACATCTGATGTTTTCCTCTAGCCTGGGTGTGCATGCATGGACACACTCACACACACACCTACCATGTACACAAGCACATACACAACACACACTGAAAAAAAAGACTAAACAACAAATGTTAGCTTGTAAAATACCTATAGTTTTTTTTCCTTTAATCATAGTAGCCAAGAAATTCTAACTGAGCACATAGTATAGGTTAGAACATTGTGTTGGTAGCACAGTGAGACAGACAGTAAATCCGATTTTAACCCACAACCACTTAGGAGCAGAAAAAGATACAACCCTTTCATTCATAAGAGGCTCCCAGAAATGCCACAAGTGTGCATTATAACATCAACGCACACTGGTAAATATCCCACAGCAAAATCTATGCATAGCAACATATCAAAGCAAAAAGAAATGAAAGATTGAAAAACAGAGTGGAAACACAGGAAAAGATTCTTAGAAAGATGAACAATGCCAGTAAAACTCTCTCCAGGAGTAAGGACAGAAGAGTAGCTGAGATAAACAGGGCCTCTGGTTACAAGGACTGCAAAGGGAGGTGGGACTGCGAGCCTCAGTGCAGCTGAGAGCAAGCAGCCCTTCAGATGTCACTGTCCTGTCACTCTGTGTCTTTCAGAGGCATGGTTTTTTACTTCAAATTCCAAAACCTAGATACAGAAAACTGGAGGCTGGTACCCCATACAAGAGAAGTTTCTTAAAACTTACACAGGTTCCCACAGCATAAATGGATGAAGTAACACTCTTGCACCTTGCTCTCCTCCACGTTGAACTGTCTACGTGAGCCAGGATATAGAATTCAAGTTTCCAAATATGAAATGATGTCTTCACCAAGATAAAAACATCAAAGTCACCTGACTTGGTGACAGGGCCTCTGGTTTTAATCCTAGCTCCTCTTCTACCTTATTTTGACCTACTTGAAATTGTAAAGGAATATACAGATCACTTCAAGACAATGCAAAGATGGTACCAAAAGAATATTAGTGATGTGGACAAAAGACTTACGAGGCAAGAGAGATGATCACTAACCCTGATACAACCAAGAAGGCTTCCGGGAGGAAATCTGTTGTGATTTCCACAAAAAAATATGACATTACAAAAGGAGTAAATAATTGAAACAAAGGCAAAATAAAGGATGAAAATTTAGGAAATTTAAGAAAAAAATGTTACTTGGCAAGAATATATGTAAGGTTGTATAGGAGAACTGTAAGAAGTGATACATTGGAAGCTCTAGCACTGGGGGTTGAGGGCGTGGAGACAGGTGGATCCCTGAAGATCATTGGCCAGCCAACCCAGCTGAATCAGTGAGCTCCAAGTTCAGTGAGAGGACCTATCTCCAAAAATAAGGTGAAAGGTCAGCAAGGTGGCTCAGTACATCAAGCCTGACCTGAGTTCATCGCTGAAATCCACATGCTGCAAAGAGAAAACTGACTTCAGCAACTAACTCTGACCTCCACATACTCACTGTGGCATCTGTGCACACGGACACACACAATAAATACATACATACATGCATGTATACATACATACATAAATACATACATACATACATAAATGTTCTTTTAAAGGTATAAAAGTAAGGTGGAGAAGACATTGAGAAGAATACCCATGGTTAACCTCTGGCATAAACACACACACATGCAGGCACACAGGTACATACGCATGCACTCACATCCATCAGGAAGTATATATTCACACACATATGAACAAGTACATACACCACACACACACACACAGGCAACTAAAGGAGATTAATTTCTATTTGGCTATGGAGAACATAAGGCACCAATAGGCCAAAACGCCCCAATTACTTAATATTTTATAAAAATGAAGCGGAAACCAAATGACATTCAATTGCATTTCGAGACAGCCTCAACTGTTAGAGGTTATAATTTAGTCACCCATAACCTTTGTATCTATTGAAGCCTACACCAGACACTGCTTTGAGAATAGCTTGGGAATAAAAGATCTTCAAAGGGTCCTTATAAGATATGAAAAATAAACGGCATAGTTGAATGTCATTGTTAAAGCTAAAACAATTAATATTTAATTATTTTTATTGTTAAAAACAAAATTTTATCATCATAGCAACTTGGAGGGCTAAGGCAGGAGTTTCAGACCAACCTGGACTACGAAGTTAGTGCAAGTCTGGCCTGAGCTACAAATGGAGACTCTCTCTCAAAAGAAAAAAAAAAAAAGGAGAGGGGGAGACCTGCAGGGAAAGGGAAGGAAGAGGAGAGGTCCCTGAAAAAACGAAACATAATTTTTCTCAGGGATGAACACTACCTCTTTGCAGTATAGTTTTCAATGACAGTTGGGAAAAAAGCAAATCCTTCAACAGTGGCATGTAACAGATTATAAATAGTACTGGATATGTAAGATAAACTCTCTCCCCAGTGGCTTTGCAAACTAAATCCTATGCAACCATTCTCACCTGTATGAAAACCACCACCATGGGTTATTAACTTAGAAGAGAGGGAAGTCAGGTTCCCTGAGTGAGAGCATTACTAAACTACTATAAGCAACTGTTCAATGCTCATGTATTTGGGGGCCTTTTTGTTCAATTTATATCCTAAGAAGTAAATGAAAAGAAACCACAGGAGAGGAAAAAAAGAAGAACCAAGAGAAGGAAGATCCGTACGCAGCTAAGAACAGCTAACAGCGGGAGTTTTTACCTTGGTTATTTGTTTTTTTAAATACCTATTTAACTTCTGCTAAATAACCATATCGTAACACCTTCATCAGCACGATCAAGGGCTAACCTAATACCCATAGAGCAAACTTTACAAGCCATATAATTGCTTTGAGATGATTTCTGATAAGTATCAAACATCTAGAAGGCTTTGTAAAGAATATGAGAATATTTCTTATCTTTACAATCTAAATCTTGAACTGAATCTAAGACATTTTAATGACATGCTGACAAAATGAAAGAGAAACTCAGACTGGTGAAACATTAAATGTTTCCTCTGGGTTATATAAAGTCGGTTGTTTTCAGCATCAATTCTCTACCTATCATTATAATTATGAAAACTCTTCAACTGCAGCAACTCAGTACAATTAAAACACAACTGCACTAATAAACAGATACAGGGGAGAACTGATACATATCTATTTCCAAATGTGTCATCTATGTTTGATCTACTTTGCATAATTATAATTAGAATTATTTCCTTTCTTGGGATCCTTTTCTTTGATTTTTAATATATTCTGATAATTACCTCATCTATGCAGATAAAAGCAAGCAGGCAGTGGCAGCTGCCTGGTTACGCTTCATCATGGTTACCACATATTCATGAACACCACACAACTCTACCTCCTGGAGGCATCAAAACTCTACCTCCTGAAGAACAGCCACAGACTTGAAAATCTTCACAGTCCCAAAGGCAGATCAGTAGGTTCTTTTCACTATGCCATCTGCCAATTTCAACCCCGAAACTATTGTTCCTCAAAGAAAAGTCCCTTCTCTATGTAAAAAAAGGCTTAATTGCTACTACAACAAAAATAATTTCAAATTTAAGAATAGAAGAAGCTTTCACTATGAAATGAAGGAAACCAATATAAAACTTAGCTTCAGAGTCTCCAAGGAAACCGAATCTGTGAGTGCTATGCAGATGTGAACTCGGCTTTTGCGTTATCCATATCCAAGCTAACACTCTCAAAATACAACATTCTGTTAAAATTTCTTTAAGCAATTCTACTAAATAAAATTTAAATCGTTTAAATGCAGATTAAGAATAGCAAAGTCACCTCTATCTGTGCTACCAAACCCGCCTTCTCTTTGTCTTTCCGCTCCATGCACCACTTCACTTCCTGGAGCTCAGATGCCAGGGTGTTGAAGTTGAGCTGCACTCTCAGATCTGACATCTGCTTCTCCAGATCCTGTTTTTCCAGCTCTACCCCTTAAGAGAAATGTAAAGTCCAGTGGTTAGCCTTCACTCTTAGGAGGACATACTCTTAATGCTACATCTTAATATTCTAGCTAACAAAATCCACTCATTCAACAGATCTATCATTTCAAGTCCCATAGAGAATTGCTTCTCAGCCTTTCGAACAAGATCAAATGTAGTATCAAGGCTCAGGTAGTTTTCAAAAATTCCAATATTACTAATAATATTTTAAATGTTATCTGATTTCTAATATAATTATTTCTAATAAAGGAAAATCCTGTATCTTTTGTTCATTAAATTTCTCACATTCCTAGATTACTTTCAAACTTTTAAAAAATATATACTTAATTCAACTACGCTACTATAGCTAAATAGTTATTGAAACTTACACAATGAAAATGTTTTTCTTATGACATAGACAACAAATGATACTCCTAAATCTCTGAGTAAAATTTACTGCTAGCTCATTAATTCTCCCTATTCTATAAACTATTACCTAAAATTATAACCCTGGACAATATAAACTAATTTATTACTTAATTCAACATGAAATGTTTGATCAATGATACTTAGAATATTGAATAATGTTCTTCAAATAAGAAGATAGATAAGATTTCTTAAAAAATCCATTCTCAATGAGCTTGCAGTACAAGAACAGAAAAAAACATACAAAAATTTAGTTTACTCTAAAATATTACCAAATACAATATATATTAACAACTCAAAACTACTGTTTTTTCTACTTATTTTCTTTCTAGAAAAGAAATGAATTAAACACTATCAAATCAAATTTATACATAATTTTCAAAATATATCCCAATTTCAGAATATTAAAGTGCTCAAAATTGCACACAGTGAAAGGAAGACAGGCTCTTCAACAGTTAAGAACAGCCGTGAGGGAGGGCAACAAAAAGAAGCCTGAGAAGCAGGACGTAAGAAAGGGGAGCTAAGCTCTAATTATACAATACGAATTTCATTAAACAAAAAAAGATGGAGTTGAGGTGTCATTCTGGATAAAAGAGAGCAGAAAGCATAGCAAAACAGAACTGGATTTGCTATCTGGGTAGCTCCATGCACAATAAGTATGAGGGCAGGAAAAGACAGAATCAGCACAGAGCTCACACATCGCCAAGGATCTTAGAATTTATCCCATAGACCAAAGGACAGCAAGGTTTTCTCTTACAAGTCAGATAACAAGCATTTTAGCCAGCCAGATGTGGCAGCAAACACCAGCAATTGCAGCTGGAAAGAGGCTGAAGCAAGAGAATCACAGTGAAAGACCAGCCTGGCCAACATAGAGAAGCCTATCTCAAAAACACAAGAACTAAAAAAAAAAGGTATTTCACCATACAATCCATGTCATGACTACTCAGCTCTGCCACTGTCCTGTGAAAGTATGAAGGGTCCTGGACAATGTGCAAATGAATGGGAATAGCTGGGTTCCAGTAAGGCTAGCTATAAAAGCAGGTATGTCTGACCACAGGCACTTCTCTCCTCAAAGTCTCCAATCTGAGCATGGATTCATTTTCTGTCATATAAATACAGGCTTTCATTTCATTAATGTATGTACTCACAAATTTCATAAATATATTTTTATAAATATATGCAGATTGCTACATGTATATATAAAAAGTCCCAATACTATGATTATATAATACATTTACCATGAGAAATAGAACACTGATATGGGTATCTCCTAGTCACAACATATAGTAGTATAAAATCTACAGTTAGAAATGTGGACACATATATATACTTACATATGTACATATTGTAAAATATGTATATG